CTTTACCTTCTGCTTTCATTATACAGTTGATGACTGTTCCCCGATACTGCTGACATGATTCATTTTTCCAATAAAGCATGAGAAAACCACACATGCATGACCTCAAGCAAGCAACTCGGTGTTGAATGCATCTCGAATTTACTGAAATGCAGAGAAGCAAACATCATATATCACCATCTTTGTTGGTGCAGAAATGCGTCTCACCTGATGATCACAGAAGATGATCAGTGTTCCCTAAAAATACTAATTTCCTGCCTCTCTCACCTTTTCTTCTCACTTGAGGCTGTTCACAGGTTTGATGCATCTTGTTTGCCACACTGCATTAATTTGATCGGTAAATGCTGTGAAAATGTTCCAGCCGTGCAGGTTGTACTAGTGGAACAAACTCAATATTCCATGTAATTTTCCATCTGTAACTTTACCACTGACAACATTTGACATTCCCAACCCTAAATGATATATTTGCAAGTGCCCCCAACTGTTAAAAAAAACACCAATCATTTTTACTATAATTTGAAGTGATTTTTAACCTCATTTTTTGACTAATGGCCCATGCAAATCTCACTGCTAATGTTATTGTGGTTGCCTGAGTGTTGCTGATTAGTTGCTAAGTTGTTCTGAAAGCTTATTGCTATGCAGTTGTTAGGAGGTTGCTTTCTGGACCAATTTAAGAGCCCAACCTCAAGAGATCATTTATTTTGGTCCCTAGAAATGCCTTATGTCCCTTCTTCAATCAAGACAAGTGTGGCATTTTTTTTTCAACTGTTTTATCGTCCACCATATGAAAACCGTAAGTCCAAGCACACTTGACTTCAACAAGAGGCTTTTTGCATGATTTTAAGGGTTATTCCTATTTGCAGCACAAATTAACAGCCGAGTTTAATACTAATTTTTTGGAAGAAGTATGAGCACTACTAATAATTATGCTTGATTTGACATTATTTGGTCTTAAACAAAAATGAGTCAGTAATGTTTAGATCTAAATGTAAGATTTATGAATTTAAATTGCATATAAAACTCAGAGTTTTAACATAGCTAATAAACTTAATGTGATGCATATTTGTCAGTCATACATACAGTAAATAAAACATGCAGGTCAGATTTCTGTAATAGTACTAATAAACTGGATGTGTTTTAAATAGGTTTGTATTATTTATCATCAATAAAACCAATTTGTTTCAATCTCATATATTTTAACTAACTGAATATTGCTTGTTCCACAGCTAGTCATATTTAGGTTCATATTTTTAAACTGAATACATGTACTTTTTTTCACAATGAACAGATTCATGCATGCTGATCCTTTTTTTCTTCAATGAATGCAAACAATACATTTGATTTACAGATAATTAAATCATGCATGCTGATTCTAAACACTTTGACTAAATATATTTTGAAAACAGAATTATTTAAATAAAATCAAATAGATGCAAATAGTTAATAAACTATGGCATGAGGTGTTTTAAGTGTGGCAAATATGCATCAAATTAAGTTTATTAGTTTATGTTAAAACTGTGTGATCCAAATGAAATTTGAAATGCAATTCAAATGCATACATTTAAAATGTATGTCTGAATTTTGTGATTGTTTTATTTATTCATTTATTTGAATTATACATTTTATGTAATTGAACCTGACTTCAGTTTTCTCGCAGTTGCGTGAACCCCTGGTTGGGAAACTCTGCTATAGAGTGTGAAAACTCTCTCAAAATAATGAAACACTAATGTGGCAATCTGAACAAATACAACCTCTTATGAGAAGTTAAGGCGTGAAACAAACTCTACATACGCACATAAATACAATGCATGTTATGTAATGTAGGAACTTTGATTCACTGATGGGTTTTATTTGCATTTTTGTATACGTTTCCAACTTGACTTTCCAACTTGAAAGAAACACGCCAAAATCAGAATCTGGATCATTAGTAAATGCTACAAAGCCAAAGCCACATTTCATGATTTATTTTCCCAAAGGCACTCACTACATTTGATGTAATGTTTGCACAAGTATTGATGTGATCACCATGACAACACAGAGCATGACTACGATTACCGTAATGTCTTTGAGATGTAACGGGAACGTTGTTCACTCCAGCTCACATCACTGTGACGTTTACATCAGCATTACATCATCCAGTGTCTCCTCGTTCCACCACAGTAGAGGAAACTTGACAGTTAGAGCCGTGGCTAGAATAAATAGTATTTCCCCATTGATTTTTCCAAAACTTTTACATCCATTTCACATGAGTGTGTTTCCTGAAGAAGGATTATATCAGACTCTCGGCTCTAATAAAATATATATACCCAGCAAACGAGGAGCATAAACAGGGTCTTATGGTCCTGCCCAGCCTACAACCTTCTTTATGTAGAATTTGACCTCTCAATGCCATAAATGCTCAAATGCTCAGCTGCGATGTTCCAAACATGAGCATTATTACAGATTCCCACCATATGACACCATATTTAACATCTTGACCGCCTGAGCAAGAACATAAATGACTGAATGAAAAGTCAACCGTGACGTGATTAAAGGTGAAGCCATGACAGAGAGAAGCATGTGAACCATCCATCACTATTAATCAGTTCCAGACAGAGATAAGTGAAGGTTACCTCAACACATTTACCTTTTGCTTTCATTATACTGTTGATGGCTGTTCCCCGATACTGCTGACACGATTCATTTTTCCAATAAAGCATGAGAAAACCACACATGCGTGACCTCAATTAAGCAATGCATCTCAAATTTACTGAAATGCAGAGAAGAAAGGCGTTGCAACTGATGATCACAGAAGATGATCAATGTTCTCTAAAAACCCTAATTTCCTGCCTCTCTCACCCTTTCTTCACACTTGAGGTTGTGTATTCACAGGTTTGATGAATCTTGTTTGCCACACTGCATTGATTTGATCAGTAAATGCTGTGAAAATGTTCCAGCAGTGCAGGTTGTACTAGTGGAACAAACTCAATGTTTTGTGTACATTTTCTTTCTGTTACTTTACCACTGACAATATTTGGCATTCCCAGCCCTAAATGATTTATTTGAAAGTGCCTTCCAACAGTAAAAAAAAAAAAAAAAAAAAAAAAAAAGCAAAAAAAATAAAAACTTTAATTAAATTAGATTAAATGTTACAGTAAAGACATTTATAATGTTACAAAGGATATTTATATCAAATAAATGGCGTTCTTCTGTCATATAAATACTGTTTTCAACACTGATGATAATAATAATTAGAATTGTTTTATTGATGTGATCACCATGACAACACAGAGCATGACTACGATTACCGTAATGTCTTTGAGATGTAACGGGAACGTTGTTCACTCCAGCTCACATCACTGTGACGTTTACATCAGCATTACATGAGCAACACCGTTATTGCATGCTGTCTAAGCTGAAATGTACATTTTGTGTGTGTATGCATTTGCATTCACTATTGTAGATCAAAAGGGTCAACGTTTTATTTATGCATCCACACTTTTTTCCATATTTTTGAGTTACGGTGGAAGACATTGTTCTGTGGGCATAAAAATGATTCCGATATACGAACTGACATCAGATGATAACTTAACAAATCAGACTGTTTTATGGCAATAATGGAATAATTGTGGATTTACAGCAACCCCAAAAAGTATTTGAAAATATATGTGTGTCTCTAAAACAGCAAAAAGCATTTGCAACTCATTTTACCATTTAAAGTCAATGTTAAACATCATTTGTTTCCAATTTTACCATTTAAAGCCAACGTAAAACTGTGTTTGCAACTAATTTTACCATTTAAAATCAAAAGAAACCAGAATTGCTAAAAAAATTACCATTTAAAGTCAATGTAAACATGATTTGCATCTAATTTTACCACTTGAAATCAATGTAAAACATCATTTGCGACTAATTTTATAATTTAAAGTAACTTGACCATTTATAAACTATTTTTCATGTGATGTATTTCACATTTTTTTCACTAATGTCACTTTTCTTCTTTTCTGTCTTAATCAGTACTGACTCTTCATTTTCAACACTAGATCTATAGTATAATCATTTAAAACGGTACAAAGTTTTTGTGTGATGTTTTGTAAAGGTTGCATCTTTATTTACAGTAAATGACTCTTGCTGTAATATTTTATTAGTTTAATGCAATTAAATTCACAACATTTTATGTGTGATTGAAGTGTCTAGATACTTTTTGGGGTCACTGTATGTCTCATAAAGATGCCATTTATTCATCATGTTCTAATACTTAGAGTAAATTGGGTTTCATTCTCATTTAATGTCATCAATATGGCTTTGATTCCAGTCATTTTAAGGGGGCTTGATATGTTGAGTTCTGTGTGAACGCAGCATTTTACGAACAGATATTAAGTCGTTGTTGTTTAATCTCTGGCATCACAATCAAAAGTTATTGAGAACATCTCAATTTTTCAACCAAATTCAATAAGTTAGTGTTTCATAGACGCTCATGATTTGCCATCATAGATGACAGATTCATCTGAGCAGCAGTAGATATCTATGCAGGTCTTTCTTTCCTAAGACATCGTGATGTACAGCTTTCGGTGATCCCTGACACACCTTTGAAAAGAGCAAAAGCCTTTGACTGTCCTATGATGAGTAATCAGTACTCAAGTTGTAAAGAACAATTTACGCAACCTCATGTCGCTTTAAACCCATTTGAGTTTCTTTTTCTGCAGAGCAAAAAAGGACAATATGATTTCTGACTGAAGCAGATGTATTGCATTATTAATAATAATGTGAAATAATTAATAGTAAGTTCCAAAAAAGTCGTCATTCACTGAAATCTTACTCTCCACCACAGCTGTCAATCTCATTCAAATGAAAAATGGATTATAGCACCAAATTTGACATCAGTGACATGTTTTTTGTCATTTTTTGGAGCTTTCCATTGAAGAAGGAAATTCATACAGGTTTGGAACAACATGAGGGCGAGTAAACAATAACAGAATTTACAGTTTAAGGTGATGTCAGTCTGTATTCTTTGAGCTCTCTGTCTTTTCATATTTTTGGCAACTTGTCATTTGTCACAGTGAAAATCAACTGCAGTTGATCGTAGCGAGTCGAGCCGCAGCTTACAAAACACAAAGGCACATTTTCACCCTGCCATTGTCTGCCTACGGTTGATGTTCTTTCTGCTCCAGTCTTTTATTTCGCTCTTGTTCTTTGGCCTGAGCCGGTGCGAAACCGTTCTGCTGTTTGGGTTCCTCAGGATAGTGAGGCAGACACGTGAAGCCAGTGTTGGTCTCCATTGCTTCTTCCTCTTCCTCCATCTCCTCCTCGTCCTCTCTTCTCTCTTCTCCCAGTGTGACGTTGCTGCTGTTACTGCTGAGAACGTCGCCCAGCCTGCTGGCATCCTCCGGGATGTTCCTGCGGAGATCTTTGCTCCTGTTGCGTTTGGCCAGTTTGGTGAGCGAGCCGAAGCGGTTAAAGATGTTTTCCTCGGAGGACGCCTGCTGTTCGCCGCGCTCGGCCTTCAGTTGCAGGTTGTTCAGTTTAGTGTCGATGCTCTCTTGCGAGGAGGTTTTAAAGCGCCCAGCGTCCAGACTAGCGAAGACGGCCCGCTTTTCAGGCGACAGTATGTCTAGCGAATGCGCCCGCTGCTCCAGACCCAGACGTCTGCGCTCCATGCTGCGGATGGTGGCCGTCCGCTGAAGTTTGTCGTGGATCTCACCGCTGAGGCGCCGCCGTGTCTCGCGGAACTCTGCCCGGACGTTTGCTTTCCATTCTGCTGCATGGGCCTTAAACTCTCCGACCTGTGTGAGCGGGACATTTAAAAACAATTCAGTACTGTGCTTAACGTTAAATGTTACCATATAAAGCCGACATACAATATAATTTACTGCTAATTTTACTACTTAAATCCAATGTAAAACATTGCTTGAGATTGCTAATTGTTAATTTTATCATTTAAAGTGAAGGTAAAACAGAATTTGCAACTAATTTTATCATTTAAAGCCAACGTAAAAGTGCATTTGCAACTTATTTTAACATTTACAGTCAACGTAACAGAATTTATAAAAAAATTTTACCAATTAAAGTCAACGTATAACAGCATTTATAAACAGCATTTTACCATTTATTATCTATTTTTCATAATATGATGTATTTCACAGTGAAATGTTTTCTTTTAACAGCAACCTGGCTTGATATTATCATGATAAAGATGGTGTAAAGTGTGCTTCACATCAGAATGGAGTCGGATCTGAATGGAAGTTGCAGGTCAAGTTCACCCTTCACAGCATCTTCAAGTATCCCAGTGGTGACACTTCTTTATCAGATCTATCATTATTTGATATTATTGCCATGACCTTTATTGCACTAACCAGCATTAAATGAGTGTATTAAAAACTATTGACAAGAAAGGCTACATTACCAACAGCAGCCAAATCAATGGCTACTTGCCTACTGGTTAGCATTAACCAATAGTCTACACACCCTAGTTATCATCAGCTGAGAAGGAAAGACCAGGAATGTGTAGAACAAAGTAAATAGGGCTCTGATGCAGTAAAATAATGCTGTATTGTATATTGGAGATCATGTTTGACATATCATACCTCTTCTTTTGTTTTCTTGGACAGAACTCTGAGCCAGTCTCCAATCATGCTCAGGACCGCTGCGAAATACGCCAGACCCACCAAAATCCAGAACCAGACCAGAGGCTTGTACCATTTCATGTATTCTATTTTTCGATCTCCTCCTATAAAATAATGAAACTGTTTTAATACTCTTCACCAAATATTCCATTGGAATGGAGTGTCCAAAGCATTCCGTTCAATTCCATTCCAAAAGGTCAAAACAAGGTCTGAACATGGTCAAAAGACAAAATTGCCAGGAAAAGTATTTTGAGAAGCTGTCAGGTAAAAATGACATTTACTTTTATTCATTTATGTAGATGCCTTTATCCAAAAGCGGTAAAGCGGTATTTTCAACCAATTTTACCATTTAAATTTGACATAAAACAGCATTTGAAGCTAATTTTACCATTTAAAACCAATATAAAACAGCATATACTACTTTAAAGTCAACATAAAACAGCATTTGCAGCAAATTTTACCATTTAAAACCAATTTAAAACAGAATTTACCATTTAAAGTCAATGTAAAGCAGCATTTGCAGCAAATTTTACCATTAAAAATCCTATGTAAAACAGCATTTACCATTTAAAGTCAACATAAAACAGCATTTGCAGCAAATTTTACCATTTAAATTCAAGATAAATCTGCATTTACTACTTTAAAGTCAACTTAAAACAGCATTTTCCATTTAAATTCAATGTAAAATAGCATTTAACACTTTAAAGTCAACATAAAACAGCATTTGCAGCAAATTTACCATTTGAAGTCAATGTAAAACAGTAAACTTTACTACTTAAAGTCAACGTAAAATAGCATTTGCTTTAAAAATTAAGCAACTCTTGACTGTACAAAATTTACAGACAAAATTGACCATTTAAAGTCAACATAAAACAGCATTTGCTATAAAAATTAAGCAACTCTTGACTGTACTAGGCAAAATGATGTAAAATGCTCTCATCGGTGCTCCTACCTGCTACATAATCTCCAATGCCGACGGTTGTGAGAGTAATGACAACGAAGTAAATGGCTTCTAAAGTACTCCATCCCTCGATGTGTTTGAAAATCACTGCTGGGATGGTGACAAAAATGATGCAGCCAGCGATGATGAAGAGTATGGTGGAGGTGACGCGGATTTTGGTCTGACTGATTTGCTTGTGTTTTTGCTATAAAGGGAGGCAGAAAAAATCTCAGGTGAACTGAAGTATTTATATAACCAGAAATTAATTAACTATCCTCAGTAGAATATTCCAAAACAAGTCGACTCACCCTGAAAACTTTCTCCACCTTCAGAATGCTCTTCATAAACATGGTCCCTAGCTGATCACCGATCCCGGCCAAGAGGAAGCCAAACAGAGGGATGCCAAATATGGCATAAAGGATGCAGAAAATCTTGCCGCCCTCAGTGCTGGGGGCGATGTTTCCATAGCCTGTAGATGTAGGCGGAGAAGACAAGAGGTTATTTAATCGTTATAAAACAAACCGCTGTAGTTGACCCCCTCTATTAAAACCACATTCATAGATCCAGAGAGAGACAATTGGTGGCTTCCAGCGAGAGAACATGGCAGTAATTATAGATTGTTGAACAAAAGGGAAGTTCAGACAACGACAAACTAAACAGTTTCAGTGAGAGATGAGATCTGGGCTGAAAGTCTCATGTGTTGTGCAGTTACATTTATGAAGGTCAGTGCAAATCTTGTTGAAAGTAAAACATGAAAAAAATGCATTGTTTAAAGTAAGCAAAAAATGTTACCATTAAAAGTCAACGTAAAACAGCATTTGCTGCTAATTTTACTATTAAAAGTCAACACAAAACAGCGTTTACCATTTAAAGTCAATGTGAAACAGCTTTTGCAACTAATTTTACCATTTAAATCAACATAAAACAGCATTTGCTGCTAATTTTACTATTAAAAGTCAACACAAAACAGCATTTACCATTTAAAGTCAACGTGAAACAGCTTTTGCAACTAATTTTACTATTAAAAGTCAACACAAAACAGCATTTACCATTTAAAGTCAACGTGAAACAGCTTTTGCTGCATATTTTGCCATTTAAAGTCAACGTGAAAGCTTTCGCTGCAAATTTTGCCATTTAAAGTCAAAGTAAAACAGCATTTGCTGCAAATTTTACTATTAAAAGTCAACACAAAACAGCATTTACCATTTAAAGTCAACGTGAAATAGCTTTTGCTGCATATTTTGCCATTTAAAGTGAACGTGAAACAGCTTTTGCTGCAAATTTTGCCATTTAAAGTCAAAGTAACACAGCATTTGCTGCAAATTTTACTATTAAAAGTCAACACAAAACAGCATTTACCATTTAAAGTCAACGTAAAACAGCATTTGCTGCAAATTTTACTATTAAAAGTCAACACAAAACAGCATTTACCATTTAAAGTCAATGTGAAACAGCTTTTGCTGCATATTTTGCCATTTAAAGTCAACGTGAAACAGCTTTTGCTGCAAATTTTGCCATTTAAAGTCAAAGTAAAACAGCATTTGCTGCAAATTTTACTATTAAAAGTCAACACAAAACAGCATTTACCATTTAAAGTCAACGTGAAACAGCTTTTGCTGCAAATTTTGCCATTTAAAGTCAAAGTAAAACAGCATTTGCTGCAAATTTTACTATTAAAAGTCAACACAAAACAGCATTTACCATTTAAAGTCAACGTGAAACAGCTTTTGCTGCAAATTTTGCCATTTAAAGTCAAAGTAAAACAGCATTTGCTGCAAATTTTACTATTAAAAGTCAACACAAAACAGCATTTACCATTTAAAGTCAACGTGAAACAGCTTTTGCTGCAAATTTTGCCATTTAAAGTCAAAGTAAAACAGCATTTGCTGCAAATTTTACTATTAAAAGTCAACACAAAAGAGCATTTACCATTTAAAGTCAACGTGAAAGCTTTTGCAACAAATTTTACCATTTAAATCAACGTAAAACAGCATTTGCTGCAAATTCTGCCATTTAAAGTCAAAGTAAATAAGCATTTACCATTTAAAGTCAAAGTAAAACAACATTTACCATTTAAAGTCAAAGTAAAACAACATTTGCTGCAAATTTTACTATTAAAAGTCAACACAAAACAGCATTTAACATTTGAAGTCAACGTAAAACAACATTTGTCGCAAAATTTGCCATTTAAAGTCAAAGTAAATCAGCATTTACCATTTAAAGTCAATGTTAAACAGCATTTGCTGCAAATTTTACTATTAAAAGTCAACACAAAATAGCATTTACCACTTAAAGTCAACGTAAAACAACATTTGCTGCAAATTTTTCCATTTAAAGTCAAAGTAAATCAAGTAAATCAGCAAATTTTACTATTAAAGGTAGGGTAAGCTCTTTCTGGTAGACAATGTTGACATTTGAAACATTTGAAAT